GCATGACTGTATTTAAATAAGTCTTCCACCTACGGCTTTATTTGAGAGGTAATTCTCATAAAAAGCTCCCAGAAATCTCATCTGTGCTATTCCGTCTACATGGACATTTACTGAGAATTTTCTTAAAGCCGCAGAAACTATCTTCATAAAGACAAAACATGGTAGATACTACATTGGGATCATAAAAATCCTACTGAAAAGTTAAATAGCAACTATCTGCTTATGTAATCTGACATGTAGAATTTCAAGTTTTACAGATTGGAAGCAAATACCTATGGGTAAAGGGCCATAATGCACACAATATCCATAATATAGATAATATATCTATAATAATAAAGAACTTAATGGTGGTCCCATCATCTATACTCAGACAAATATGATTTTGCTTCCTTGTTCCTATCATACCTTATCCCAGGAAGGACTTAAGGCATGGTAAGGTAGCTCCGATTCACATTTTCCAGAAGAATCCACTGAGATACAGAGAGGCAGAGCAATCACACCAAGTCAGTTTCTCAGTGTGCAGTGGGTGGAAGGACAACCCAGGTTCCAACTTCTTGGCACCATATCCATTCCAATACTTGTTCACTTCCACTGCAAGGCCCAAAGAACGAATCAAATAACTAATCAAATGTGCCATATTATCCAAGGGTAACATTTAGTGTTTTATTTGAAAATAATTTCAAAATTATAGAATAGTTCAAGAAACACCCTTTACCCAGGGTGTTTACCCAGGTTCCATTTTGCTCCATTTGCTTTTTAATTTGCTATCCACCCACTCATCTACTCATCCATCCATCCATCCATCCAAATAACACTTTTTTTCTGAACCATTGTAAAGATACTGCATATATTAATGGCCCCTTACCCCTAGATACCTCAATTTACATTGCCTAAGAGTACAGATATTTCCTTACATAACACAGAACAGTTATAACAAACATAACAATGAAAAGTGTTAACTTTCAGCATTTATAATCTAATTTTGTAAACTGACCTAATAATTTGGTTAATTTAAGTTTTTCTAGCATATTTTCTAGCGTATATTCCTCCTCCTGTATAGGATGCAGGCTAGGATCAGTATTGTATTTAGTTGTATACTCTCCAGTATTGTTTAATCTGGAACATTTCTTCAGCCTTTTTCTTTGATCACATTGACTTTTTTTTAATCTTCACCTGAGGACATGTTTATTGATTTGAGAGAGAGAGAGAAACATCAATGTGAGGGAGAAATATTGATTGGTTGCCTTTGGTATGCACCCCAACCAGGGATCAAACATGCAATCTAGGTATGTGCCCTGGCCAGGAATTGACCCCGCAACCTTTTGGTATATGGTACAATGCTCCAACCATGCATTTGATGTTTTGGACATGGCATGGGCATGGCCAGGGCATGGCATTGATATTTTTAAGACTATAGTTGATCCTTGGACAACATGGGGATTAAGGGTACCGACATTCCATGTAGTCAAAAATCTGGATATAGCTTTGACTCTTCAAAAACTGAAATACTAATAGACTACTTTTTACTTTACCAATGAAGCCTTACTGATAACATAGTCAATTAACATATATTTTGTATGTGTATTTACATACTATATTTTTACAATAAAGTAAGCCAGTATACAACTAAATACAAAAGTTATTAAGAAAATCATAAGGAAGAGAAAATACATTTACTGTATTTATTTTTTAAAAATCCACATATAAGTGGACCATGCAGTTCACAACAATATTGTTCAAGGACACCTGTATAGACTCTTTTTTCTTTCTTAACAGAATGTTCCTCATTTTAGATTTGTCTGATGTTTCCTTGTGATTAGATTCAGGTTATGCACTTCCAGATGGGTTACTACAAAAAGTGATGTTTGTGTCTTCTCAGGTTATTATATCCAGAGGCACATGATGTCCATCTGCCCCTTAATGATAACACTAATTTTGATCACACAGTCAAGTTGTTGTCTGGTTTCTCTATTATTCTCTCCAGGAACTAATAAGAAATCTGTGGGGAGATACTTTAAGACCACAAAATAGAGTGCTCCTCCCCAAGGATAAATTTTTATAATAGTATTGCTATTCATATAATAGTATCACTATTGCTATAAAAAGTGACCTCTACATAGTAAAAGAAACGTTGGTTTCACTTACTATACTTGAATAAGTTCCATGCCAGTTTTAACATCTGTTTTTATTACAGTAGTCCACACACACTCAGTGTTTATTAAAACTGTTCATTAACTGCTATCTGGGTAGGATATAGGCACCTGATTTTTAAATCCAACTGTGATCAGTGCCCTAATTTTTGTTGAAAGAAAAGAAATCTCTTTAATTTAGGCTCTAGAAATTAGATGATGTAATTGAAAGAATGTTCTATATAAAAAAAGAAACTTGTGAAAGAACCTACCTCTATTTATTCATATTATACATGAATTTTTGTTACAATGATATTGATTATTATCCAGCCTTTTTAAGCAGTGTAATTTTGAAGAGAGCTTTAATTCAAGGCTTTAACTTAGATTAAACATAGTTAACTTACATAAAATGTTTAAATGGCCTGGTAACTGTAGTTTCTGAGTTTGGTAACAAGCACAAAAAAGGCAAATTTTTAGAAAACAGGGAAAATTGAAAAGAAAAACTGTTTAGAAATTATTTTGAAATTATTGGTTTTTATTTTTGTTGGGGTTTTTTTTTTTTTTTTTTTTAGTTTTTAAGATGTTTCCTTTCTCATTTTTCTACTATGGCTCTCAACATTCTGTGAAAGCGTGTTTTACAAACCAGTCATTCTGCTGAACAGATATGCCACTAATTCAATAATTCTTTCATAGAAGTCAGGGGACTGGGGGGTAGAACAAAAGAATATGAAGTTTGTTATAGCCCCCTTTCTCTTTTGAGCCCAGCTTCTCATCTATAACTTTGTCTTACTTGCAATGCAATAAAACTCCAGCCTGTATGAAAAAAGAGAAGGGTTTTATTTTATTTTTTTTGATCAATAGAATTCAGCAGCCAAAGCATTCGTGTTTTGGGTTTTTTGGTTTTTGTTTTAAAGCATTTGTAGCCATAGGCTCAAAGGAGGAAGAAAGAGAGAGGGATTAACTTTCTGCAAAGAAGGTCAAAAACATAATTTACAAGTGAGGCAAGAGGAGCAGCTGTATCTGTTGGCCTAATCAAGACTACCAGCTGGAGAATTTACCAGCAATATGAAAACCATGTCCACCAGATGTCAAGCAATGCAACTGGAGGCAAAACATCTTTGGCTCAATGCAGTACTCTCCCCTCTACCACTCATACTTCATGTTAAATAGTAAGGTATCCTCCACTGGCCACCAGCAGGGATAACAAGAACATTTCCACAAAAGAGACTTAATAACATGATCATATGACACCAGACTGGTTTCAGGATTGAAGTCCACTTCACACAATGTTCTTTGGTTAAAAAACAATTTCAACTTGTAAGGGGTGAGAAAAACATAAATGGCTGCATGCCATTCTTGTGCAAGGATTCTTGTGGCTTATCAGACATTTTATATTGTGGATCCATTTTGTCATTGGGAAGAAATGCGTGTTCTGAAAATACTTGAATAACCATTTTCCACCCATTCTTACACCTGTGCCATTCAATACAGTACCACTAGACACATACGGTTATTTAAACTTAAACTATGTAAAATTTAAAATTCTTTTCCTTGGGCATACTAGCCACATTTCAAGTGCTTGATAGCCATGTGTGGCTGGTGGCTATCCTTTTGGACAGCACAATATAAATATAAAACATTTCCATCATCACAGAAAATTCTGTTAGATAGTGTTGCTCTAAACCTATAAATCACCTTTAAAATGGGCAGTTATAATTCCTTCTCTAAATACTATGAAATAAAGCAATCTTTATGCATTCTCTTATAAAATAAGTTTACTAATACAATATACATCTTGAACCAGGTGAGGGTGACACAGAGGAGGGGAGCTCAGTAACAGTTTCATGAATGTGAACTGATGCTTGTCTGATGAGATCTTTCTACATGTTGTAGTCACAGGAGCTCTGTGACAAAGGCCAGTCTGGATGGGTATTATACGACAAATAAGCAATAAACTATTCTTTCTTACATGTATCATTAATTTATGATGCTTCCTCTATCAGACAGTTTATACCAGAAGTTTCCTTACTTATGTTTCCAAATGTGCAAAATAAATCACGTCCTTTAAAAAAGAGGCTGCTGAACTTCACAGCTTTACAAATGTGTTACTTTAATGCCATGTATAGATCATATGCCACAGCTGTTTCTAAAAATTTTATGAAAAAGAACAACAAGAGGCCAGTGTAATAAAATCCACCAATTACGTTTCTTACTCCCAGCCTCAACCATCGTGAGTGCGGGGATGTCAAGCAACTCAGGAGGTGATGCGTGGATGTCTATGTCATCACTATGACTCACTGAGGGACGCGTGCCATGGGCACATGACACATAGCAACAGTCCTCTGTCTCTGCCTATGAGGACACTATGCCAGGGTGTGACAGAACACACTGGAGCACAAGCCAGGTCGTACTCATAAGCATGTCAGCCACCTCTGCCCGCATACATACAGAATGCAGTCCAGGTACTTGGCTTTCTTTACCTAAGTTTTCTTTATATATTCCAATACTCCTTGCAAAATCACTTTGTCCTGAGAGCCCATCAGCTTCACTCCCATTTTGTCTTCTCAATCCCAGTTTCCTCTTTTCCAATTATTCACAGTGGACAAAGAAAAACAAGTTTTTCTTTGGAAAACTTGTTTTCTATGGAAAAAAAAAGTTTTTTCTACTCCTCTCTGTTCCATCATCAAAAGCATAAAAGACCTGTTATTTATTTTTTGGGAATCATCAACTCTACTTAATCAGATTCTCATAAAGATCACAGAGCTATTTCCCAAGAGAGGCCGAGAAAAATCACTTGTATCTACTTAGCCTGTTAGAGATTCGTGCAATGGCTGCAAGGATTTCAGGTTATGCCCCAGTTTTCCTGCTTACCTTGGCTTTCCCGTCCTGGGCTGACATATATCCAACACACATGCTCTCTGTCGTGTGGCTCCACAGAAATTCCACTGCCATGGAAGAGAACACAAATAGGCACATTCAGATCACAGATGGAAAATAAATCTTTGCTTTTTAATAGAACAGTTAAAGATAGCTTTATACTTAACACACTCAGTTTCCTACTTTCCATTTGCTCCTTCATAAATGTCAAGATGATTTAGTAACCAAAAGTGTGTAACGCCATTTACTGTGAAATGAAAATTGTATTTCTTTCTTGTCAAAACTTATGATTATTATATGTAAAATAAGTGCTCTTCTGTTTTAAACTTATAACATTAAAGACACACACACGCGCATACACACTCGTGTACAATATACAGTGACTTAGTAAATGTAATATTCCATAACATAGTTTCCTTTAAAACACACACAACACACACATCTTGGTTTCTAAATACCATTCTGAATGAAAAGGAACCAGAATTCCCTGGAGAAATGTCAACTCCAGGGCTGGAACAGAGAAAATATAAAACAAATCTGGAACATCTTGTTGTGCCAGAAAGTAAAAAAGTGCTCAAAGAATGATGAGAACTATCAAAAGGACCACGTGTCAACTTGAAGGGGTTCCCGCTGGCCAAATCTGTGTCTATCTAAGTACCAAAATAAATAATAATAGTAGTGAATTATCAACACTGAACATGATAAGAACTAGCAAGCCCATATCAATGCAAACAAACAAATGAGTAAGTAAACGGGGGAGAAGAGAAAGTTCTCCCTTGCAGCACTTCACCAAGTAACAAATACAGACAAAATAAGAGACCATCATGGTTGCTAAAACTAGTTGGTGAAAATTTGAAAATAGACAAGCCATTTCCATAGTCTCAAGATAATCTCTTCATGAAATTTTTATTAAATACAAAGAGGGAAAATTTAATGTAAGTTGACTGCATAGAAAGCTGATGGATTCCACTTTAACCAAATATTCCAAGCCAGTATCACCAAGTAAGGGATAAATCAAAACAATGTGCTCCTTGATAAGACACCCTGAGACTTGCCAACACTTTTGTGGTATGCTTGCCAAAAATGCAGAACCAGAATTGCATGAGGAAGCACCACACGAATCTGATATAAGAATAGTACTAAATAACTGATTCGAACTCTTCAAAAATGGCAAAGTCAACAAATACAAAGAAAGTTGACAAACTATTTCCATTTAAAGGAGACATGACAACTAAATGCAACATGTCATCCTAGACTGGATCCTGGTCTAGGGGGTGGGGAATGTTATAAGGGGCATTACTGAGACAGTTAATGGAATTTAAAAAAGGACTGTGGATTCAATAATAGTGTTATTTTAATGTTAAAATTTCATGATTTTGGTATCTGTATGTGATTATTTAGAAGAATGGCCTTGTTCTTAAAAAATACACACTGAAGTATTAAAAGTAAAGACCCCTGGAATCTCCAGCTTGGTCTCAAATAGTTTAGCAAAATATGTGCATGATTAAATGGGTGAGTGTGTATGTCTATGTGTGTCTATGCCTGAAGGGAAGATCAAGGGAAAGTGAGTGAGGATGGAGAAACAAATGGGGAAAATAAAAACAATGGATGATCTGGGTAGAGAAACCATGGATGTCCCTTGTACTATTCTCATAACTATTCTGTAAGTTTGAAATTATATATGAATTAAGTCACAAAAAGAAAAAAAATCACAGATATGCAGAGATACACATAAAACTTTGTCACCTTCAAGAACATACTTTCAAAATTCTGAGTTTTTTAAAAGGCATTTTTTAAAGTTTTGAGGCACTTCTCCAACAAAAATTCCAAAAGTCCCTGATAATAAAACTTCATTGCTCAACACTAAACCCTCTGGGGCCCAGGCCATCCATCTGTTTATATCTCTGAGCTAATTAAGCCTGAAGACAAGTGTTTGAGTTGAGACACAACTGTGGGATCAGTGATCCTAGACTCTGAAGGCTTTGCCAGACATGTGGGGAAGAAAGAAGCAGTAAGGGACAAAACGGAGTTCCTCAGATACGTGGCTCATTCCCTCATCATTAATTAATTATCAAACCTGCCAACCTGCTAAACAGACGCTCTGCTAAAGAGTGCAGGGAAACAGTGTCACGCAATGAAGCGAGTTCTCTTCACCAGATGTTTTTTCTTCCTCACACATCTCCTTTGAACTTCAAAAATCTTAACGTCCAGAGCAAGGTCTGGGATATTCTAAATTGCCTAATAGAGCAAAGGCACTCAAGTCTTACTGAATTTCCCTAGAGTAATGACAATGCAATTGTATTTATAAATACAAACCTAAGACATTTCTAAAACTGTGACTTCTCCTTTTGCCCCTAATGTTAAAGTAGGAACTGCTCATCAATTAGCCAAAAAAAAACCCCCAAAAAACCAAAACAAAAAACCTCACACACAAAACAAGGACATGTAGTAAATCTAATCATCAAAGTGAAGGATAAAACCATTGTACTTTATTTCTTTTTAAAGACACAATTTTGATGATTTTAAACTGCATTATTGTAAAAATGTAACCTGCTTTAAGAAATGTGATATATAAAACATTCAGACTTACAAAACAGAATAAACTGGGTATATTTATTGACCACATTAAATATTTTTATACTGAATGCTTTTCCATAAAGTTTCTAGATTTAGAGCTTAGGAGTCTTTAAAGAAAGTAACTTAATACCTAGAAATTCATTCTTCATTCTTTTCACAAACAAAACAAACAAGCAAACAAAAAGAGGTGCACTGTATTGATAAGAACAATTCAAATCACTACATAGTGATCAGTTCAGTATATAACTAGTTCAAGCTACACTGAGAAACAGCAGGAGTTGTCTACAATTTAAATTACAGAATGCTCTTGAAAAGAAACCCTATTATATTTATTTTAGTGCATGTCTTAAATTAACCTACCAAATTAATTTTTGGTGGGGGAATTCAGGGAAGCAGGAGAGGGAACTAACATTCAGAATCTAGCATATGCTAGGCACTATCTTTTGAAGAACTCAGCAAAGCCTGGATGGGGGAACCTGATGATCACAGAAAATATGTAACATGGCTTATGTCATTTTAGTATATAAACAAACTGGACTTCAAACTGGACTTTTGGATTCCAAAATATATGATCTCCCATTGTTCTATTACTCTAAAATTTACTCAGGTTGAAAAGGATTTATAATTAGTGTTACGTATTAAGACGATTAAATTCCATACAAACACCAAAGGGCCACAGAACATCAAACACAAATACAACTTTTAAATATCTCCAAAGAAAAGCTTTTAAAACAATAACAAAATCCAGAGGTCATAAAAGATAAGATCAATAAATGCAACTATGTTAAAAAAAATATTTACAGTATTCTCTTTGCCATGTGGGGAAAAAAGTCAACATATGAATGACAAACTGAAGAAATACCTGCAATCCATGGCATAGAAAAAGGACATTTTCTTAATATATAAAGATCTGCTATCAATCAATATGAGACAAATATCCAAAGATAAAGAAAAAATAGGAACAACAAAAAAGCATATGAATGGCTCTAAAACACAAAAAGATGTTCTTCTACATTTCTCCTACTAAAAGAACTGCAAATTAAAACCACAAGATACCATTACTCAACTATCAGGTTATCAGATATCAAAAAGTTTGAAACAACTTTTTCCCCCCTCTGGGGGTGAAGAAATGGGCACTCTCATACAATGATGGTAGGAGTAAGGCCACCTGGAAATACATTCTTGTAATTTGTGGTAGTTATATGTCCCACAAGGTCACCATGAACAATTAATTAGAAAACATAGAGCTATTGCTCCTAAGAGAAATACAGCATTGGGTTCCTGCAAGTAACCTTATTTTATGTGGGATTCTGTTTAAAGACATCTTATTTAATGTATATTTCTTTTAAGTAATTCCTTATATGCAGTATTCTTTTATAACAAAATACTAGCCAAGAAGCATTTAACATTTTCCTGACCTTGGATAACCTGCCCATGAGTTTCTGTGGCTTTCAGCCTCATGACAGTGCTGTCCCCTTTGCTCTTCATCTTACTGGCCATCGTCTCATGAAACCACAAATTGAACAACATTTCCAGCTTTTCCATGGCTTCATTAGGCACCATAGATGTTACTTCAGTAGTTTCTAAGGCAGCATACAAGTGAATTTCCTCTTCCTTTTTTGGAAATACAGATTGTTCGTTCATTAACTTTGAACTCATGGCCAATAATACTGTACCTCTTGCCTGAATGAGTTTATCCCACATGCATATTTTCTACACAAGACACCACAACTTCCTTGCACTAAGGAACACTAGACAGCAATTCAGGACTATGCTTGGGGGACATTTTTAAAGCAAAATTGTCAACAAAAAGCACAAAATTATGAAAGATGTTGTACAAATAGACCACAACAAGGTCACTTGTTTACAGTATGGGAGCTGAAAATAAAAAGGCCTTTTCCACCTCAGCTGGGAATGTGTATGTAAGGTGACAAATTCTTCACCACTCTGTACATGCCCACAAATAACTATGAAAGTGCTGAGAGTACTAATTTTGAGATTACAAATAAATTTCAGCAAGTAATAAGATTTATACAAATTCTACAAATAATGAGCATTGACTGTAGTTATCAAAGTGACATACACTATATGCATTCTAAAGATATGCATGTATATTTATGAAATAACACCTTTACAAAGATATTTACAGAAGTAGTTTTAATTAGGAAGAAACTGAAGATAGTTTAATTGCCTACTGGTAGGAGTATATATGCATAATTATGGAACTATTCAATAAAATACTATGCAACAATTAAAAGCAAAGGAGGTAGCTCTACATAGGTGATATGAAACCATGTACATTAAGTGTTTTACAAACTTTTTGACCATGAACCAAAAAAAAGCAAAAGCAAACCCAAAAAAACCCATATATTGTCACTTAGTGCACATTTCTTTATAACTCAAATTTCATAAAATCATACCATTTTACTCACAATGTATTGGTTTATTCTATTGGGTTCCTTATATTCTACCTACCACATTAAAAAGATTA